CTCAGAGATATTGTGGATAGGATTCCAGACCACTGTAATAAAGTGAGACACAAATTGTTTTGGTTTTCCAGTGCATATGTAAGTTATGTTTACACTATATTGTAGTTTGTTAAGTATATAATAGCATTATGTCTTTTAAAAATCTATGTACCGGGCTTCCCTGGTGGCGCAGTGGTTGAGAATCTGCCTGCCAATGCAGGGGACACGGGTTCGAGCCCTGGTCTGGGAAGATCCCACATGCCGCGGAGCAACTGGGCCCGTGAGCCACAATTACTGAGCCTGCGCGTCTGGAGCCTGTGCTCCGCAACAACAGAGCCTGCGATAGTGAGAGGCCCGCGCACCGTGATGAAGAGTGGCCCCCGCTTGCCACAACTAGAGAAAGCCCTCGCACAGAAACGAAGCCCACCAAAAAAAAAAAAAAAAAAAAAAAAAATCTATGTACCTTAATTAAAAAATACTTTATTGCTAAAAATTGCTAACCATCATCCGAGCCTTCAGTGATTCGTAATCTTTTTGCTAGTTTGCTAGTGGAGGATTCTGCCTCGATGCTGACAGCTGTTGACTGAACGGTGGCCTCTGAAGGCTGGGGTGGCTGTGGCAATGTCTTCAAACAAGACAGCAGTGAAGTGTGCTGCATTTACTTTTCTTTCTTTTTTTTTTTTGCAGGCTGCTCGTGTTGCGGCCTTGGCCTCGGACATGCAGCTCCTTGGCCTCGGACATGCAGCTCCTTGGCTAGACTGCTCTTCGCCCCCGCCCTGCGCGACTACTGTCGCTTTCTCAGCGAGACCCACCCCAACCTAAAGTCGCCACAGCCCCTGCACACACACGCCCTCCACCATTTTGTTTTTGCGGCACGCGGGCCTCTCACCGCCGTGGCCTCCCCCGTTGCGGAGCACAGGTTCCGGACGCGCAGGCCCAGCGGCCATGGCCCACGGGCCCAGCCGCTCCGCGGCATGTGAGATCCTCCCGGACCAGGGCATGAACCCATGTCCCCTGCATCGGCAGGCGGACTCCCAACCACTGCGCCACCAGGGAAGCCCTGATTGACTTTTCTTTTCACAGATGATTTTTCTATAGCATGCAGTGCTGTTTGATACTATTTTCCCCACAGTGGAACTTTTTTCAAAATTGGAGTCAGTCCTCTCAAACCCTACTGCTGCTTTATCAACAGAGTTACGTAATATTCTAAATCCTCTGTTGTCATTTCGACAGTCTTGACAGCATCTTCACTGGAAGTAGTTCCATCTCAAGAAACCATTTCCCTTGTTCATCCATAAGAAGCAACTCCTCATCTGTTAAAAGTTGTATCATGAGATTGCAGCATTCAGTCACATCTTCAGGCTCCACTTCTAATTTTAGTTCTCTTGCTATTTCCACCACATCTGCAGTTACAGTAGTAACATCAAAGATCACAGTTCACCATGACAGATGTAATGATGTTGAAAAAGCTTGGAATACTGCGAGAATTACCAAAACGTGACACAGAGACGAAGCGACCAAATGCTGTAGGAAAAAATGGCACCCATAGACTTGCTTAACACATGGTTGCTGCACATCTTCAGTTTGTAAAAAATGCAATCTGTGAAGCTCAGTAAAGTGAAGTTCAATAAAAAGATGTATGCTTGGACTTAATACATGTTAAATTTGTTGAATGCATAGTTCTGTAGTTTAAACAGCTTTGAAAGTGGAAGCTATCAATGTTGGGTGCTTTTCTTCTGTCTGCCTCCATTCATTCTTACCTTTCTTGGCTGTATAATTGGTTATTTGTGTTACTGCTATTTATTTATTTTTAATTAATTTATTTATGTGGCTGCATCGGGTATTAGTTGGGGCATGCAGGATCTTCGTTGTGGCCTGTGGGGTATTTCATTGTGACTTGGGCTCTCTAGTTGTGGCACGTGGGCTTAGTTGCCCCGCGGCATGTGGGATCTTAGTTCCCCCACCCAGGGATCAAACCTGCATCCCCTGTATTGGAAGGCGGATTGTTAACCACTGGACCTCCAGGGAAGTCCCTGTGTTACTTCTTATACATTCATTTCTCTCACTTTTATCTCAAGAAGTCTGTCACCTTCAAATGGTCCTAAAAATTTCCACCAGTAGGCCATCTACTTCTGAACTTAAGTAGGAAGAAGTTTAAAATTATTTCTTCTGTACTGTTTTACTCCTTGGAGTTCTTTTTTTTTTAATTAAGGTATAATTCACATACCATAAAATTCAGTTTTATGTATGTCCAATTCAGACGTTTTAGTATATTCACAAGCCATCATCACTGTCTAATCTCAGAACATTTTGATCACCCTAGTAAGAAACCCCATACCATTAGCAACTGCTCCCCATTTCCCCCTCTCCCTGCCCTCCTCTTAGTCCCTGAGAACCACTAATCTGCTGTCACTATGAATATGCCAATTCTGGACATTTCATATAAATGGAATTATACAACATGTAGCCTTTGCTGTTTGTCCTCCTTCACTTACTATAATGTTTTCAGTATCAGTGCTTCATTCCTTTTTGTTGCCTAAGTACTTCGTTCCTTTTTGTTGCCTAATAATATTCTATTGTGTGGATGTACCACATTTTATTTATCCATCAGCTAATGGACATTTGAGTTCTTTCTATTTTTTGGCTATTATAAATAATGCTGCTATGAAGATTCATGCACAAGATTTTGTGTTGACATATGTTTTTGTTTCTCTTGAATATATACCCAGGAGTGGAACTAGAGTCATAAGATAACTCCATCTTTAACTGAGAGTTCTTTTGTCATCCCAGTTTCAACCCCTCTGAACTTGGAAAGGTCTCAGAATCCAATGGGCCTACCATTTTGTTATATTTTAAAGAAAGGGGGACTTCCCTGGCAGTCCAGTGGTTAAGACTCCGTGCTACCAATGCAGGGGGCATGGGTTCGATCCCTGGTGGGAGAACTAAGATCCCACATGCTGCACGGTGCAGCCAGACCAAAATAAAATAAAAGATCCTTAAAGTAATCACATCTGGAGGAAAAAACAGAAAGGGATTAAAAAAAGCATTTTGATATTGATGATTCGGTATGACTAGCAGGTAGGGCATCCTTCTGTGTCACGAATAAAACACTGAATAATACCAGCCATAAATGGAATTTTTTTTTTTTTTTGGCGGTACGCGGGCCTCTCACTGTTGTGGCCTCTCCCGTTGCAGAGCACAGGCTCCGGACGCACAGGCTCAGCGGCCATAGCTCACGGGCCTAGCCCCTCCGCGGCATGTGGGATCTTCCCAGACCAGGGCACGAACCCGTGTCCCCTGCATCGGCAAGCAGACTCTCAACCACTGCGCCACCACGGAAGCCCCTGGAATCTTTTTTTAACTGAACAAAGTTTCTCTTACCCAGTATGTAGAGACCTGGGATTTCAGGGGATGGTACAATTTCTGTTGTAGATACAGTGAATTAGTGAGGGTTTGTGTTGTTGTTACTAAGAGGAGACTATAGAGGTCAGTAAAGCACATCAGAGAAATAGTACCATATAGGTTTTTTTTCCCGTCCCCCCTCTCCAAAGTTAAATTTCACCTCTCAGAATTGTGTTCTGTTGACAGGGTTTGTCCCAAACTCTTTTGGGGCTCTTATAAATTCAGAGTTTCTAAATTCGTACTTTATCTTCTGAGGACTGTACTGTGTCACTTTTTATTAACATAAACTGTTAATATGCCAAGTATAACAAAAACATTAATTAAGCACTTAATATGTGTCAGGCACCATTGTATGTTAATTATAAATGAATTAGAATGAATTAGGTCCTGGCTTTATCCTCATTTTTATATGAAGGGACTGAAGCGCAAAGATATTAAGAAATTTGCCCAAGGTTACACAGCTAATACGTTGCTCGTGTCAGGCTTCAAACCCAAACTGTCTGATCAAGAGTCAATACTCTGGGGACTTCCCTGGTGGCACAGTGGTTAAGAATCCGCCTGCCAGCACAGGGGACGCGGGCCCAAGCCCTGGTCCGGGAAGATCCCACACGCCGCGGAGGAACTAAGCCCATGTGCCACAACTACTGAGCCTGCGCTCTACAGCCCGCGAGCCACAACTGCTGAGCCCGCATGCCACAACTACTGCAGCCTGCATGCCTACAGCCTGTGCTGCACAACAAAGAGAAGCCACCACAGTGAGAAGACTGCACACTGCAACAAAGAGTAGCCCCTGCTCGCCGCAACTAGAGAAAACGCGTGCACGGCAATGAAGACCCAAAGCAGCCAATAAATAAATAAATAAATTTATAATTAAAAAAAAAGTGAATACTCTGAACCACTTCGCTTACTCTGTACTGCCTCTCAGTTACTGTGCATTTACAAGATATTATTATTATTTGCTATTATTAGTTACAGTTAATTAAAGCTTTTGTTTACATAGATAGTAATCAGACTTTTGCTGAATTCTCAGAACCTACCATTAGAATAAATATAAATGTTTTAAGGAATGGGGTAATGGGAAGAAAACCTCATGTTCCCAGCTGAGTATTGAGGTTCTGCTTATGACCAAAAAATCTATCTTTGTACATCATATGACTAACTTTCAATACTGGAAGGAATCGGGGAATTCATTTTACGTTAATCATAATTGAAGTTATAATACTTCACTGTTGGTTTGGTTATTTAGTTTTTTTCCCACCTCACTCTTCCATCCTGTTCCCATGGGTAAGTAGATCCATGGCAATGTTTGTTAATTAAAAGTAACATTATTTTAAATTTTTGCAAGGATTGGATGGGCTCTGGACCTAATAGGATCAGTATTGGGAATCTCTATTTGGTTCTAGGTTTTTTCTTCTTGCTTCAGGAGAAGTAGAGTGGAATATTGGGAGTTGCTTTGCCTTAAAAAAACATCCTCAGGAGTAAAACATGTGGAAGAATACTTGAATACTCTGTGTGTTTTTGACAGTTTCAGCTGAATGAGAACAAGTTACAGGGAATTAAAAGATAGTGGAGAGATCTGACTGCTTCCTTCATTCTACAGCTGGCTCAAATAACTGTTGATGGCCATGCAGGAGAAATACCCAAGTGAGCGGTTCTCTCATGCCACATCACCAGGTGAGTAGTCAAAGTTTTCTGGGTTAAATTCTGACCTTTGCTCTATTATTTTATAACAGAAATTTCCTTAAAAGGAAATACTGAACAAACAAGCATTCACTGAAAGGCTGACGCTTAAAGAACAAAAATGACATGGGGCTACATTGAATAGAAAAATAGGTCTCTCTGAGAGAACAACTATTTATCTCTGGTCCTGTGTAGCTTCCAACAAGACCACGTGATTGATTGGGAGAGGAGGACACATAAAGGATTGGAACAAAATGACTTTGGAAGATAGTTCCATTTGAAGTCAGAAAAACACAGCATAAATTACTGTGTTCTATGTTGTCTTTGTAGTCCTGTGGGTGGGTCAGTCATCTGTTAGCCCACAAAGATTGGAATTCTTCTTGGATGCCAACAGTCTCACTTGTGTTGTCACTAGAGACTCAGGAATTTATCTCTAGAATGGATTTACAGGGTTTTGAAAGCTCAGTAGATTTCCTAAGTTGATATGTTAAAAGTTTGTGTACGTATTTAATATATATATTAAAACATGTAAATGTATATACATACTCAATAGACAATATTAAGTAGATATGGTATATTCAAATAGGAAGTAGCATTTTAGAAAAATAACTTGAATTTGGAGGGATTTATGAAGAAAGGAGTACATTTGATGGAACTAATGGTATGTTTTCTTTAACTTGAAAAATCCCACAGTGACTTATAGCAGACATTTGGTAGATATGTTCTCCTAGGCATACTGCCTTGCATATAATAAGCACTTCTAAAAGCATTTGTTGAATCAATTCAAGGTTCATTCAGCAGATATTTATTGAACATTGCTATGTGCCACGCACTGTCTTAGGACTGAATTATACAATTTCTTACGACACTTATGTGTATAGTGCACCTTCTTGGAATGTAGCAATTCCTAACAAAGCTCACTGCTTTTCTGATGGCTTTGTTTTCAGTAGTCTCTCATTTCCTACTTTTTTTTTTTTTTGCGGTACGCGGGCCTCTCACTGTTGTGGACTCTCCCATTGCAGAGCACAGGCTCCGGACGCGCAGGCTCAGCGGCCATGGCTCAGGGGCCGAGCCGCTCCAGGGCATGTGGGATCTTCCCGGACCGGGCACGAACCCGTGTCCCCTGCATCGGCAGGTGGACTCTCAACCACTGCACCACCAGGGAAGCCCAGTAGTCTCTCATTTGATTGATAATGGTCTTAATTTTTGATAAGGATGCTGCTGATACGACGTGATACCAGCTTTCAGAGTTGAATTTTGAAATAATCATAGTCTCTGTAACTACACCAAAACATTTTTATTTTAGCAAATATCACTTTTAGAATTGATGTATGGAGTGGGTGAACAGAAAAGTGGTAGTGGTGAAGATTAGTAGTAGTAACAGGGAGTGATTTCCAGTAGGAGGCCAGGAACATGGTAATAGAGACCGTCCATTGATTTTCACTATTTCAAAAGACCTGACAAATTGTACACTGACTAGAGAGATAATGCCATATAGACTCACCAGGAGGTCAAATTTCTTTGCTTCTGGCTAGAATTATGTTAATTTAGTATAATAACACTGGCTAATCTTATGCTGATCAGATGCTCTGATTTTTGGCTGTGTTTTCTATTAAAGATTGTTACAGGGACTTCCATGGCAGTCCACCTGTTAAGACTCTGGGCTTCCAATGCAGGGGATGCGGGTTCGATCCCTGGTGGGGAAACTGTGATCCTGTCATGTAGCACAACCAAAAAATTTAATAAAAAAAGAAATTGTTACCAATTACTGTGTATATATAGATTCTTTCAAATCACGTAGTCCACTGAGACCCAAAGAATAAAAGGAGTTCTTGGGGAAAGTGAGGTTGTCTTCAGTAGAAAGCAGAATTAAGGGTAGCAAAAAAAAAAGGAGCAACTGTAGAAGAAAGTAGGTTCAAAAGATGGGAGAAGGGCTTCCCTGGTGGCGCAGTGGTTGAGAGTCCGCCTGCTGATACAGGGGACGCGGGTTCGTGCCCCGGTCTGGGAAGATCCCACATGCTGCGGAGAGGCTGGGCCCATGAGCTGTGGCTGCTGAGCCTGCACATCCGGAGCCTGTGCTCCGCAACGGGAGAGGCCACAACAGTGAGAGGCTCTCGTACCACACACACACAAAAAAAGATGGGAGAAGCACTAAACTCAAATATCATTTGCTTCCCGCTAAATCATAGAGTCTGTAGAACCACATTTTCTGATTTCAGCTCAAACTCTGACGCTTTAAATGGATAAGTAGCTACCATTACATGTTTGTTTGTTTACATGGATCATCAGATAAAGTTTAGAAAAATTACAGTGGTTTTTAAAAAATAATTTGAATTTAATTCTTTGCTAGTATATTAGTAAATAAAGTATTTATTGAACACTTTGTATCTACCAGCCCTCAAACAGCAAGCTGATAAAGTCAGATAAATCTCATCAGTCTTGTTTCATCTTACCTGCTCAGAAACTTTAGTAGTTTCTTTGCATTGCCCCTGCCCCACAAACTCTTCAGATTAACTTATAAGAATCATCTTGATCTGGATTTACCCTAACCACAAGGGTACGCTGATGCAGTCAAAGCAGTGGTTTTCAGCAGGGGACTGGATTGCCTGTTACCTTGCAGAGCATTTGGGAACATATGGGATGTTTTCAGGTTTTAATAGTGATGGTAGTTCTTCAACACGAAAGTGCAGGGATGATCCGAAAAGGGCTCCTCACCCTGAGGCTGAGTAGAGATCTAGATGGAGTGAGAGCTGCTGCTGGCATTTAGTTGACGGGGAGGGACTAGGAATGCTTAACCATCCTGTAATATATAGACTATACATTGAAGAATTGTCAGGCCCAGAATGCCAAAAGCACCTGTAGGAAACCCTGTAGGAAAGAATGTGGGTATTGGAATCAGAACAACCTGGGTTCAAATCTCAGCTCTATCCTCTGCAAAATAGGGGTTATAATACTTTTCAGTGAGTAGGTAGATGAGATCATGTTTGTAAAGTGCTGTGGCTTCTAGATTGCAAAGAATGGAGCTGCTATTAACTATTACTGTCCCAGTACCCCTGGATTCTTGGTAGTTTTTATTTCTGTCTTTGAACATTCTCACCTCTTACGCTATTTCCATTTAAAATTAACTGGGCTTCCCTGGTGGCACAGTAGTTAAGGATCTGCCTGCTAATGCTGCGGACACGGGTTCGAGCCTTGGTCCGGGAAGATCCCACATGCTGCAGAGCAATTAAGGCCGTGCGCCACAACTACTGAGCCTGCGCTCTAGAGGCCGCAAGCCACAACTACTGAGCCTGCCTGCCACAACTATGGAAGCCCGTGCACCTAGAGCCCATGCTCTGCAACAAGAGAAGCCACTGCAATAAGAAGCCCATGCACTGCAGTGAAAAGTAGTCCCCGCTCACCGCAACTAGAGAAAAGTCCGTGTGCAGCAACGAAGACCCAATGCAGCCATAAATAAATAAATAAATAAATTTATTTTTTAAAAAAAACAACCTCCCTAAAATTAACTAATTCAGAGTAGCTGAAATAGGCACAGGAGAAAGAAAGGTGTGGGGCGCCATTATTCTCTCATAGGTTTAAGTGATTTTTTAAAGTCTTGTGGGGTTACATGAGCAGGTTCACACTAAAGGTGGGAAATGCCACTTGTTTCAGGTTCCAGTGTGATTCAGAGGGGTGGTTCCCTGGGGACTGAATGGCAGACCCCAGTTATCTCGGAGGCGTTTCGGAGCCGCTTCAGCCGCTGTTCAAGTATAGCCGACAGTGGGGACACAGCCATTGGCACATCATGCTCAGACATTGCGGAGGGTAAGTTTGGATTGATGATTTGATTACCAAAATGTGTTGTCAATTTCAAATTGTATTTCACGTATATTGTCATTTCCAGAGTATTCGTAAGTCGATCCATTCAGTCAAGGAGTCTTCTTGATTCTTCTTATCCTATGCTCCTCACAGCCGGTCCCTTCCTCTCAACTTCTACTGTTTGTCCTGTCTGAAACAACTTTCTAATAGGTTTCTTGGCATCAGGTCTTTCCCTCTCCTACCAGATTAATCTTTCTAAAAGCCTGATTTCATAGTTTCCCTTTCCTGCAAATCCTCAGTTGTTTCTATTACTTGGAGGATAAAGGTCAGAGTCCCCAATTCTGTGATATGGCCCTATCCCATTCAAACATATTTCTTACTGTCACCAGGTATGTTGTCTTAACTATGCTACGTGCAGAACCTTTTTTTTTTGTTACTTGAGCTCTTTCCTTCTTTAATCTGGGCCCCTTTGTTCTGTTCTCATCTCCTCTTGCCCCTCCCAGCTATGCTTATCTTATCTTATGATTTAATGACGCGTCTGAAAAAGCTTTTCCAATTTCTTCCTCCCATTACTGATCTTCCTTTTTGCAATTTTCTATCTTTATGTTTTTCTGTCACTTGTTTTTGCACTTAAGTATTAACTGTCAGGCTGTACTTTACAAGAGTATTTTGTTTTTTCATTTAGATGGTGGGTTCCTAGGAGGGCAGAAAACCTAATGATAATAATTAATTACTGTTTATCAAATACTTTATGATGCATACTGTGCTAAATTTTTTCTACATTTTTTCATTAATACCTTTAAGAACTCTATGAAATATTTTATTTCTAATCTACAAATGAGAGCTGAATTTCAAAATGATTAAATGGGTTGATTAAAGTCACAAAACTAATTACCTTGGTACTTGGTGCATCTGATAAGATGTCACACCCACTAGGATGGCTATAATCAAAAAGATAATAACAATCGTTGGTGAGAATGTAGAGAAACTGGAACCTTTGTACATTGCTGGTGAGAATGTAAAATGTTGTAGCTGCTTTGGAAAGCAGTTTGGCAGTTTCTTAAAAGGTTAAACATGGAGTTGCCTTATGACTCAGCAAATCTAGGTATATGTATGCAAGAGAACTGATGAAAGCATACATCCACACAAAAACTTGTACACAAATGTTCATAGCAGCGTTATTCTTCATAGCCAAAACTTGGAAACAACCCCATGTCTATCAGTTGACAAACATATGAGTAAAATGTGGTATATCCATATGATAGAATATTATTCAGCCATAAAAAGAAATGAAGTACCAATACCCCCCACAAACTGGATTAACTTTAAAAACATCTATGCTAAGTAAAAAAGCCAGGCGCGAAAGACCATATTGTGTGAAATATCCATAATAGGCCAATCTGTAGGGAGATAGAAAATAGATTTAGTAGTTGCCTAAGGCTAGGGAAGTTAGAGTAAATGCAGCATGACTGCTAAAGGGTAAAAAGGTTTCTTTGGGGGGGGGGTGATGAAAATGTTCTAAAATTGATTGTAGTGATGGGTACATAATTCTGTGAATGTACTAAAAACCATTGAATTGTATGTTTCAAGTGGGTGAAAGTTGTGCAGTATGTGAACTGTATCTCAGTAAAGCATTTAAAAAAAAAGAAATGTTTGGAAAAAATAAGAATGAAAAGGAGAAAAACACATCCACTACATCTACTACTAGTACTGACTCCTGGACACCTGGCATTTAATTTTTATTTTTTTGCCACACCACGTGGCATGCGGGATCTTAGTTCCCCCGACCAGGGATGGAACCCACGCCCCCTGCCGTGGAAGTGGGGAGTCTTAAACCACTGGACCACCAGGGAAGTCCCTGGGATTTAATTTTAATAGTTTGACAGCTGTGTGTGTATGGGCCCAGTGTCAATAAATATTGAGTTAATGGAATCATAGATTTTAAGGTAGAACTTTAAAAATCACTTAATCCAGTTTTTTGCAGGTGAGTAGCAAAAATTCCTTTAGGGGTTAAGTAACTTGCCTGGTGTCACACAGCTAGTTATCAGATTCAGATCTCCCACCTGTATTGTTCTTTCCATCATTTGTGTAACCAAAAGTGTTACTGTCAATGTAGTTGTGACTTGTTAAGGTTTTGTCTACACGTGCAGTCATGGGACCTTTTTCATTCTGACTAAATAATAGGACTTGCAAAAATCAAACAATGGTCTAGATTTTTTCCCCCCATTGAATTGACTGGCTATATCTCATTCAGTCAAATTGTTACACAGATTGTGTGTGACTCTGTGCTTTTTATTCCTTTGGGGAAATATATATATTAATTGCATAGTACATTCTTTTTTTTTTTTTTTTTTACGGTACGCGGGCCTCTCACTGCTGTGGCCTCTCCTGCTGCGGAGCACAGGCTCCCGACGCGCAGGTTCAGCGGCATGGCTCACGGGCCCAGCTGCTCCGCGGCATGTGGGATCCTCCCGGACCGGGGCACGAACCCGCGTCCCCTGCATCGGCAGGCAGACTCTCAACCACT